CTTGCTCAGGCTGGTTTCAAACTCCTGACCTCGAGCAATCCGCCCGCCTCGGCCTCCCAGAGAGCTAGGATTACAGGCGTGAGCCACTGCGCCCGGCCTCTGGTGTACTTTTTAAAAATAAATATGCATGCTTGATCCTTTTCCTCCCCAAAGTAGTCTTTTCCTTTGTCTTTTGTGTTTCGTGTCACAAAAAGGGGTAGCATAGGATAGAACACAGCCGAAAACACCTATAAGCCCACTGACCAAGCTGGCCCTGCAGACTGGTCAGTTTGAGGTTCTGATCAGAACAGCATATAAACTTTGCTGAGAGACCCCCAAATAAAAATGAAATGAGGCTCCCCTCTCCTCTTGTTTGATGCCCTTGAGTGCTTGACTTATGACCATGGGGGAGCACTGACTCTTGGTCTCTGCCATCCAGAGGGTGTGATTTTTGGGTCATGTCAGGTGGCCAGTCTGAAAATGGCTGGGAACCTGAGACATACAAGATTCTTTTTTGAGAGACAGAGTCTCGCTCTGTTGGCCAGGCTGAAATGTTAAAATTGAGAGCCACTGCTGCCAGCAAGCACAGTATCACTCCTTTGAAATTATGTTGGCAGGCCTGTGAATCTGGGTCTGGCACCATGTCCTGTGCCCGATTTAGCTGAACCTTCTCATAATCATGTTCAATACTTAAAAAGACTCCTCTCATCCCTGAAAACCCTGAGACATAAAGTCACAAGGACGCAGGAGGACTGCCAGAGGAACTCCACCACCCTATCAGCCACTGGGAGATTTCATGCACAGAAGGGTTGCAGAGGAAGGGTGACTGTCACCACACCGGGAGGGACCCTTTCAAGTATTCAGCTATGACTGTCGAAGTGAAAAAAAAATCCAACTGGATTCATGCTTTCCATGTGAAGCCAGCACCTCAGGAGGAATGGACTGGGGTTCCCGTGGGGACCTGATAAGTAAATGTTCTAGTTAGCTGACGTTGGCGCTGAACTCAACTGGAAAGATCTGTTCTAATGAACTTGCTATTATCATAGACAGCCCTGCTGGCCTATTCACAGTAGTAATGACTCCAATTACTTTAAGACTCACAATGTACTAGAAACAAAGATGTTACTCGTAACACTTTTTTATTTCTGTACACCGAGCAATGGTCCCCACAATTATATATTTCCAATCAGCTCCATATCGTATTCCCAGGATAGTCACGGTCTGGATGCACAAGCCCAGTAGTCTGTGCTAGAGTGAAGGTGAGATCATCTTCACGAGTAATTTTTGGTAATACCAAAGTAAGCATAAACTATTAATAATATGCATCCCAATACTCAAACCCTAAATTTGACACTAAATGTCTGAGGTGAGTAGTTTTCACACCTAAAATTGCATCCCCAAGGCTCCCCCATTATGGAATCTAATTATTAAGGGGCTTGTTTGAGGCCATACAAGGACAAGAAGAGAGTTTTAAATACAATCCTTGGAGGAACAGAAATAAACAGGTATAGCTAATGCTTGCTGATGCCACTACTTTGACTAATAAACTTAGTGTTTTGGGGCAATTACAAGACACATAATACGATTGCAATGGAAATGGACAAAAAATTTGGAATTGAACTGTTGGAAATAATTTAACACACAAACAAAAACTCACCATAAAGATCTCAGAGGCACTCAGCAATAAAACAGCTTAGCAATTAGCTACCAAAAAGCTCTGAGATTTCATCAGTAGCTCAGTGTGACATACTGCTATAATAATATAACTACTGATTTGGGCTGATGTGAAAAACGGCCTATGGGTGGGTTTGTCCTTAAGACTTAACACAATTGGAGCCATGGACATTAAATACTGGAAATCAAATCTATGCCCTTCCAAAGGTGCCGCATAAGAAGTTAATGGCCGTGAGTATCTTCATGGTTTGCACCTGGGAAATATTAATATCATTTAGGATGATAGAACAATTAACAAAAAGCCTAAATTATTATGTAAGTGTGAGGTTACTTATGTGATTGATGGGAACTTGGGAGATATGCATTGGCCCTTATAAGAAAAACTCTGAAAATTCTAGATTGTCAGGCATTGCACTTATGCTACTCCTTAAGCCTAGATTGGGTGAGACTTTGTCAGCAACTACAAAATAATACTCAAATAGTGCACGAAAGTGCAAGTAATGAAGACGACATAGTAGTTTGTGACATTAATGCGTACAAAGGAGAATTTTTGCACATTGCTAATCAAGAACTTGCTTTAACCATTCACCACAGGTATCACATGCTCCACATTGGTACATTCCCCAAGCTGCATATTGTACTGACTTTTTAAATTCATCCCATCGGGACCTTGATCATTGCTCTTTCAATGGACTGAATGTTTGTGTCTACCCAAAATGCACGTGTTGAAATCCTACACCCAAGGTGATAGTGTTAGGGGTGGGGCCTTTGAGAGGTGATTAGGTCATGAGGGCAGAGACCTCACGAATGAGATTGGTGCCCTGACAGACGAGACCCCAGAGAGACCTTCCCTCCTTCCACCGCGCGAGGTCACAGTGAGAAGACGGTGCGCTCTGGCATGAGCCCTCGCCAGACTCCGCACCTACTGGAGCCTTGATCTCGGACTTCCCGCCTGCAGAGCCTGAGAAATCAACTTCTGTTGTTTATAAGCCACCCAGTCTGTGTACTTTGTTGTAACAGCTTGACGGGACTACGATAGCTTTGCGTTTTATTCATTTCGCTGAATATTTAAATGGCTGCAAACTGCCTAGAGAAAGGTAAAAACAGCAATGGAAACTGTAAATTGTAATGTAACTACAAAATAGTAACCAAAGGCGGGAACTGTAAGGGTAAATAAAAATAAAATTGAATTTTACCTCTTTCCAAAGGGGAAAGAGACCTTTTCTCACCCTTCCCTTTCTTAGAACATTAGCAGATTACATGTGCTGCATCCCAGTCCAGTTTAACACCTATTCAATAATAGAACTAGTATTTTCTTTCTTTTCCACATTTGTGGAGAGAAAATTCTGGGTTGGCAGATTTTATTTAAAATAATTGTTTTCCTCAATACCACAAGGTCTGCCTTCCAAGTTATTGTAAGTGACAGTTTTAGGAAATGTTTCATGACGACATAAGATGAGTCCTGCCATGCCCCTGCTTACTGCCCATCCCCCAGTGAGTGATATTTTAGGTGTTTGTCATAGCACCCAGACACCAACACACTCTGCGTCACTTAGGGCAGGGTAGGTAATGGTGTGGTAACAAATCAACCCAACATTCAATTTCATGTTTACGTCTCATAAACTTCAAATAAAAGTTTGTTTCTTGCTCACAACAGGGTTTAATGCCCACCAGTGGAGTTGGGGTCTCCTTCCTGCTCCTAGCAGTCAAGGGACTTCAGGATGCAGATCCCTTTTGTCTTGTGGCACCTGCCAAGTTCAACATGAGGGAGGCCTTAGAAATAGGAACCACAAGGTAAGTCACCAAACCTCTAACCCAGAAAACGAAATGCTGGAGTTGGTAACCTTCAAAAGGTCACAGAGGGAAAGCCACCCAGACTTCCACACGCTGCTGACCTCAGCCATAGGGTCACCTGGGCTTTTGCGAGTTACAGAATCAATGTGGGAAGGCAAGGGTGCCACCTGCTTGGGTTTGAGACCCAGAGGCCTGGTTTGGAGTCCGGAGAGACTTGTGGGGGTGCGGGCTCTGCTGAGCATGGGATTTGGGGTCAGTAATCTTGGGTCCAAGTCCTAGCTCACCTCTGGCTAGTCGTCTTAAGAGAGACACGTCATTTCTCTGAGCTGTGGTATCTTCTGTAAAAATGTGCATTCTACGGACTGCATGAGATGGTTTTGAGGCTTGAGGGAGATGATGTTTGGGGAAACGCTTTGAAAGCTATAAGGCATACGACAAACACCACTAATATTACTCATCGTCGTGTCTCTGCAGAGACACTGGGCCCCCACTGGGCCCCCACTGGGCCATCCTCTCCCCATCTTTTCAAAGAACAGGGAGAAGCAGACCGCAGACATCCCTGCCACTGCTGCTGGCCACATAAACCCTCCCTCTGTGAGTCCTCTGAGGCCCCCAGTCCTGAGCCTGCCAGCCCCAAAGTCTGGAAGGGTTCGTGGCGCATGTGTCCACCACATGACAATGGAAGGACTGGGAGAGGCGCTCCCGAACCTTTCTTTACAAACACTACACAGTCAAGACCCTGTCCCCACCCTTGGCCCAGTCCCCAAAAGAGAGTCACCCTTATCTGTCTTTAACCTCCTCCCGCCACCCTGGCTTTGGGATTTCTCTGCATTGTGCATTTTGTCCCCAGCCTGTTAACTGCAACTGCCACTGTTGAGCCATCTGTCCCAGACCCTGTCCTCGCGCCCCTGCCCCTGCCCCCACGCCGCTTCCGCAGCTGGGCCGGATCAGTCGGAGCAGCGGCTCAGTGTCAGCACAGCGGACCTTAACAAAGTGTCTCTGGTGTCTGCGGAAGGGCACCAGCTTGGGAACCAGGACTTCGGGGTTCCCCTGTTCTGCCATTGACTCCCCTCCTAAGGCAGGGTTCCGACACAGGGACTGCTGCTGTGATCCTGAGCCGCGGAGCTGGGGCGGGAGGAGAGCCGAGCCAGCAGGTGGGCTCCGGCTGGCTGAGTGCAGCAGCCCGGGCTCCGCCTTCCTCCTGCTTTCCCAAGGCCTCCCTGTGTGCGCCTCTCCTCTGTCCTCTGCGGGGACGGAGATGCTCGTGACCGTCTGTTGACAGGGGCTTTGCAGGCGTTTCTCAGAGGAGAGACAAGAGGAGCAGAACCCCAAGTCTTCGTGGACGAGCCTACGAAGGTGGCCGTGCACTTGGCCTTGGCCCGCGCCCTTCTGCAATCACCACGTGGGGACCTCTGGCCTCCCCACTCAGCTCTCTCTTAAGTCCTAGTCTCCCTGCCCCATCCTCATGTCCCATCGTGGAGCCCTTTGGTCCCCCCATCCCACCCGGAAGCCCTCTGCGGGCTGGATTCCGTCTCAGGGATGTGCTGGGAAGCTGACACTCACGTACACATATTTATTTCTCAAAATAAAAGGTGATGTGGCCACCCATCCTTTACAGTTTGGTAGCCTGGAAGTCTTCCTAGTAGGACTTTCCATGCCCCGCAGACAGACAGCCTGCCACCGAGCGGCCGTCCGGGTCTGGTGTTTGGGGGACGGCATCTTCTGCAACGGAGCGGAGCGGTCTCACAGGCCCGCGGAAAGGATGTGCTTAAGGATAGAACTTGTTCACTTTATTTTCCTTGCAAGACCTTGATAGAATCTAGTATAAAGTCTGTCTGGCTTAACTCAGAATGCAATTAGAGGTGTTACTCTTTGGCATGTAACCTGTCGTGGTGAGGGCTTTCCTCAAAGGGCACGGCCCAAGAGAGGCCTGCGGGGAGGCCCGGGCAGCGTGGTCGGGGCACGCGGCTCCCTGGGGTTGTGGGCGGCAGCGGGGAGCCCCCTCAGCTCTGCTGGAGCAGCCTTGGGAAGAGTCTCAGGGACAAGAGTCTCTGCTCTGGGGTCTGGGCCCCGGACTGCCCCACCCCTGGCTCTGCTCCCTCCTTCCCTGTCTTCTGCAGCCGCCTCGCCGGTGCTCCCCGCTCCTGAGCACCCAGGCCAGTGATCCTGGGGCTCCTCCCATCTGTGAAAGGACAGGCCTCTGAACACCCAGAGCTGGACCTCCAGACGGCACCTGCTCAGCCTTCCTACCACCCAGGGACATCGGGGAGATAGCTGGGTGGGGAGGGTGGAGCCTCTGATGCAGCCTATCTGGGAGGCGGCAGACCAGCAGACATCTACAGCCAGAAACAGGCCAGGTGCCCCCAAATGCTGCCACGTGGCCCCGGAAGCCTCCCTGGGTTCCAAGAGCCACTAAGTCCCCAGCTCAGCCAGCCGCCTGGACACTGGTCATTCAACCAGGGCAGTGTGGCACACAGGGGCGCCTCGGAATCCCCGACATCACCCCTCCTCTCCTCTCCGCCACTCCCCCCACCTCGCATCTCTCCTGCCCTTTAACACCTCCTGCGGCTGTTACTCTTCCTGGAGAAGGGGCTCTCGGTCCCCTTCCTGCACCCTCTCGTCCTCCTCCTTCTCCATGCAGCCCACGGTGGCAGCTAATCCAGCGCCCACGCCACCCCCGACGACTGCAGCCCCCGTGGCACCCACTGCAGCTCCAGCTGCCACCATCCCGGCCTCGGCAGCCAGTGCCGCTGCTGCCATGCCCGCGCCCACCACGCCCCCTGCCAGCCCCATGAGCCCGGCCCCCACGGCGCCCCCCACGGCAGCCAGGTGGCCACAGAAGCGCATCGTGTAGGAGTCCATGAAGGCCTTGGCCATGGCCTGCAGCTCAGCCTCCAGAGCCTCCAAGGTCTGCTCTCTCCCCTTGCACAGCATGGCCACGCCGTGGCGAGCCAGGACGGCGTCCTTCTGGGCGGAGAGAAGGTTCCGCATGGTGTCGGGCAGGACCCGCAGCGCAGAGAATATGCGCTTGGTGGCTATGTCCTGGGGTGGGGAAAAGAGGAGAAGGTGCCCTGACCTGGAGACCTAGGTGTGCCCTCCCCAGCGTGGCCCCACTGCACAGCGCCCCGGGCCACCCGGGGCTCACCTGCTGCCTCACGTACTCCTCAAACTCCCGCTTGGCAGCCTCCACCTTCCTGAGGTCGTGCAGCTGGGCGGCCATCTGTCCACGGGAAAACCCAGACTGCCTCCCTCCTTCCTCCGCAGCAGGGCGCCGCCTGCCTCCTCACCTCCACTGCCAGGGCGCAGACCCTGGCTCCCTCCCGGCCCGGCCCGGCCCGGCCGTACCTCGTCTGGAGACGCGAAACCGGGCCCGGTCCTGCCCATCCAGCCCGAGAGGTTCTGCAGAGACACCATCGCCGGGTCAGCGAGAGCAGGCCGCCAGCCCGGTCGCCGGGGTCTCCGAGCAGTTTCCACACCTTGATCTCCTGAGCGAGCTGCTGCCCCGTGAGCAGGCGTCTGTCCCCCCTGGCCACGGCGCGCCCCTCGCTCCAGTACCCCTGGCAGCGGCTCTTAGCGTGCTGGGGGGCCGCGCTCAGCACGTCCGAGACGTAGGCCCCGAGATGGCGGTGGAAAGCGCCGCCCGCACCTGAGGAGGAGACGCGCGTGCTGAGCCGGCCCAGCAAAGGGACGCAGGGAGCAGCACACGGGAGGTCTTGGCTCCAGGGACACTCACTGCTGGGGCTCCCTTGGCCTTTGTCTGTGCACCGCCTCCCCGGAGTGGGCAGCAGGCAACAGCGGGCTCGTCTCCCTTGCAGCAGCTCCTGGACCTTGGGGTACTTGCCGGACACTCTCTGAGCGTTGGGTTGAGGAGAGCACTGAGTTCGGGGACTGAGCCCCCCTCACCTCTGCCCTAGCCCCTGGCCCCTCCATCCCTGCCCTCTGCACTGCTCACCTGGAGGATGTCAGCTGCGTGCCCCTGTCCTGCCTGGTCGGGGTGGGATGAGTCCCGGCGAACCAAGAGATCCAGGTGCTGGAAGAGAAGGGGTCCTGCCACCAGCAACTGAGGATGTCAGGTCTGGGGCTGACAAGTCCAGAAATGAGTGTCTCACCTGAATTGGCACCATCCCATAATGCTTGCCCATCACCTCGGCCACTTGGACAAACATCTGGGGTGGGGCACAGAGAGTGTCAGGGCTGGGCCACTTCGAGGACCATGGTCTGTCCCAAGTCCGTCCCCTACCTCCCTACGCCTGCTGTGGGAACCACGCTTCCCACTCTCAACTCGGGATTGCCATCCTCTCCCCCGGTCTGGCATCTCATGCTTTGTCCTCTGCCCCCAACCCCACAACCCCGTTCAAGTGTCCTAAACCCGAGGCCAGAGCGAGAGGCACCGGTTCCCTCTGACTCAGCCCGGCCCGTGGGCAGGCCAGGGTGGTGGGGCCCCACACCTGCAGTCTCTCACCTCCAGGTAGTCCAGGTCTGTGTCTTGCAGCTCCTGGGAGGCACTGAGGATCTGGAACCAAGAGCGAGATGCGAGAGGGTCTGCCGGGGCAAAGCCACACTCGGAGACCCTGGTGAGGAGGGGGCTCCCGGCAGTCTCAGAACACGGAGAGGCCCCAGATGGAACGGGGATGGTACGGGGGATGGTATGGGGGATGGTACGGGGGTCCTACAGGCCTTCCCTGCCTCTGCCACCGTCAGCCCGCCTTCACCAACTGGGTTCCACCTCCCGCTCTGGGAGCACCCCCAGAGCCCATGGGCTGCCTGGCCGGAGGCAGCACCCTCACCTGGTAGGAGCTCAGCATGGAGGTGAGGGCGCACAGCTTGATCCTTGTCTCTCTGCTCAGCTCCGGGCTCATGGCATCCCCTGTGTCCACCAGGAACACAGCCACCTATGCGGAGGGGGACGAACCAACGGGCCAGGCCTGTCTCGCTCCTGCATGTCCCCGGCCCTGCCTCTGTCCTACCCAGTCTTTCTGTCCTCAGATCCCCTCCTCTTTGTCCGTCTCTGCTTTCTCTCTCTTCCCCTCTGCCCCCCACACCTTGAGCCAGCCCAACCTACTCCTGCCCTAACTCCCCCTCACCTTCCTCCCTTCTTTCCCCAGCAGGAAGGGGTGGCTCCACATCCATATGCCCCTGGTGAGGCCATTGGCTCCCCAACCACACCCCTGTAGGGACCCCTCTCCTCCTCTGGGCCAGCCACCCTCTCCGGACTCCTGCAGGGGAGAGAAGGGAGAGCACCGGTTGGTCCGTTCCTCGTCCCCAGGAACAGGGGCTCCAGACCCACTCGCCCCAGAGCCAGGCTGGGCCTCCACTGGGCCCCGTCTGCCTCTGCCCAGCCCGCCCTCACCAGGCCCGGCAAGCCCCGAAGCAAGTGGCTGAGAAGGAAGGACTTCCCTGAGTGCTGCTCCCCCAGGACAGCAAGGAGGCAGACCGGGGTGTCCCTGGCCAGGGGGTGCTTCAGGCAGCGGTTGACGGCGCCCATCCTGAGGATGAGGCCCCCCGAGGCGCTGAGGCGCACCAGCAGCAGCGGCTCCGCCCGCGCGGCGCAGGCCTCCTGGGCGGGGAGAAAGAGGAGTCCCCTGAGCGCCCAGAATGGAACCTAAGTCTGGAGTGTGTCCAGCCTGGAACTCGTGTCCTGCCATCCTGGAACAGGGCCAGAGCCCCCCTCCCGGGCCTGGCTAACCCAGAGCCCTCTCTGTGCCCGACCCGCCAGGGGCGCAGCCCACGGACCTGCGGCGCGGCGGGCAGTGGCCGCTGCGGCAGGAGCTTCATCTTCTCCCCCAGACTCCGGAGCCCCTTCTTCTGCTTGCAGATCTTGCGGCACTCGGGGCAGCAGGGCGGCTCGCAGCCCGGGACGCGGTGCGTGCTGAAGCACCGAGCGCAGAAGTCGTGGCCACAGGCCAGCGAGATGGGCTCGCGCAGCCTCTCCAGGCAGATGGAGCAGGGGGGGAGCTCCCGCGGCCCGGTAGGCCGCGGCCCCAGGCCCAGCTCCAACCTGGGGAATGGGGCATGGGACCTGTGGGGCAGGACAGGCCATTCAAAACCAGGATGTCTGTCCGGTGCATGGGGATACAGTCCCAGTTTTGGAGGAGAGGCTCACAGCTTCGGGGTGGAGGTCTCTTTGTGCCACTTCAGTTTCCCCTGGGGCCTCCATGGACAAGCAGAGCTGCTCCCAAAGAGGCGGAGCTCTGCCCTTTCCTCACTGATTTGCACCCCAGGACCTGGGCCCCCAGAGCAGGGGCAGCAGAGCAGTAGTTAGAGAGTCCGAGAGGGACAAGGCCGGTGGAACTGGCCCCATCACGTTTCAGCCATGCAACCATGGGCCCCAATTTCTTAATTGTCCCAATGAAGGGGTTAGCAGCACTGGCCCCAGGGGTCGGGGGAGGGGGGAATCACCCGGGAGGAGGTGTGTGCGTCTGTCTGCCCAGTGACTGGTACAAACGCTCAGGACAGCCCAGCAGCAAGCCCCCAAGGAGGTGCTGCCTTCAGCCAGATCTCCCCCGGGTGATGTCCTCTACAAACCCCTGCTTCTAGGACAGCAAGGAGGGGGTGGCAGCCTCCTGGTGCCCAAGCAGCCCGTTCTGCAGTTGGGCAGATGGCTCTGGATCTTAGAAGATTCCTTCCCCTCCCGGCTCTGAGCTGGCATCCACCTCCCTGTAGCACCCACTTGCTTCTCCCCACCCCTCCCTCCACAGCCTGGCCGATCAGCCTCGCACTCCCTCCCCAGGCAAGTCCTCCGGGACTCACAGGCCGCCCCGCAGGGCTCCTGTGTGACCAGCCACTTCCAGCTGACCTGCCAGGACCCCTGCACCAATCCCAGCCCGCACGCCCTGCCACTTACCAACTGTTGCTGCTGTTTCCCATGAAGCTCCGTTTTCTCTCCTTGGAGAGAAAAAAAAAAAGATATTTAGAACAGAATCCAGACTTCCATCTTCATCCTGGGTTTCCAGGGCCTGTCTTCCTCCCTCCTCATACCCCTCCCCCATCCCAGGTGGCCCCTTCCCTCCCCCACTCTCCTCCCCATCTTAGGACTGAAGACTTGCCCGTTTGCCAAGCCGATGACAAAAGGAAGAGACTGACAAGGTGGGCCTCGGCATGGACGGCTGGGCGGGGAGAGGGTCCAGCCACAGAGCAGGAGGCCCAGAGACCTTCAAGCAGAGGTAAGGATCGCTTTTCTCCTGGACGGCTAGCCGGCCTGTGGCAGGTGGAGGGCGAGGTAGGGGGATGGTCTCCCGAGTTGCGGACTCCCTGTCAGAGCAGGAGAAGAAATGTGGCAGTCGGAGAGAGGAGGCTGCTGGACTCACCCCAGGGGGAGGAGACAGGGCTGCGGGTACCAGGGCTCCGAGGAGGAGGGAGGGATGGAGCCTGGCTCAGAATCCCTGGCAGAGGCTGGGATGCAGGCAAGCCGAGGTGGTGAGTCGCCATGGAGACAGAAAGGAAAGATAAGGACAGGGAGGGGGAGGGGACGGAGAAAGAGAAGCCACGTGGGTGCCCCAGCAAAGACAGAGGGCGTCCTCTGGTGGAACCAGGGACCAGCACTGCCCCTGCTGGGCCAGCTGGGGTCCTTCCAGGGTCACAGGGAGGGTGGGCAAAGAGAAGAGATGTGGGGAAACAGGAAAGAGTGCCACCGGGGCTGACCTAGACACAGGGAGGTCATTCGTCTCTTCATTTACTGAGCACCTGCTGTGTGCAGGCCCCCTGATGCCACCACACTGCACGTGGCCCTGTACACCCCACCACCCTCCGCACGGCTATGTCACTGGTGCCCAGCCCAGCTGCAGCCTTCCTCAGCACCCCTGGGCCTGCATGTCCCCTGGTATCTTCCCCCAAAAGGGCTTCACCCTGCCTCAAATTTAGGAGCCACCTCTGGACCTTCTAACTGCCTCTGACTGGGCTCCCTGCCTCCTCCCATCCACTCCCCGGGCGCAGCCGGCACATGCACCTCCAGCACAGCTGACCCCACACTCCTCAAACACGTTCCTTGGCTCCCTACTACCATTGGATCAAAATCCAAACTACCCAGCCCGCCTTCCCGGGCCGTGCCCTTCCCTGCCTCCACATCGCTGCTTGGCATTTCCTCTGCCTGCTGTGCCTCCCTCAACCCCCGCCTGTCCCTCCTGGGACACCCTACCAGGCCCAGCTGGATGCCATAGTCCCTTGGATCCTTCTTGCTTCACCCTCTCACCTGGCTGTGACCTCACCCCCAGGCGGTTCTCGGCTTGGACACCTGACTGTGACGGCTTGATGCAGCCCAGCTTTAGAGTCTGGCTGCTTGGACCTCGATTCCCAGCTCGGGGCCTTGGTACTTCCTTTCACCTCTCTGAGCTCTGAGGGGCACAGTTACCTATAATAAGCCACTTGCCCAGGCAGGAAAGTTATCACTCAGTCCCAGGAGGTAGGATGGAGGGGGAGGATGGGGCGGGATTCAGATCCTACAGATTCAGCAGAGACCACCCCTGCAGGAGGGGATGCCCCTGACGCTCGAGCAGACCGTGTTCATCCTGGCCTTTCCCCATGGTGTCCGGAGGGCCTCAGCCTGCAGGACTGCATCAAACCCAGAGCAGCAATGCCACAGGCTCTGCCTTTTCCTGTCTGTCCCAGCTGGGACAAGCCCCACCGTGTTGGCAGCAAAGCCTGAGACTAGGAGAAGCAAGACTGAGCCACACCACTGCTCCCGCCTGCAAGGCAGGAAGGGGGGTTTTCTCGAGCCCTGCAGCCTTTTATGCTTGTGGGACAGAGATCGTGGAGGTTGGACTCTGACTCAGCTCTGAGCCTGCCTCTGTGTCGGTCTCCATTTGTTCATCATCAGGCAAAGGTGTGGGGAAGCAAATGGGACGATCGGCCTTCACTTAACAACCCTTAGGGAGCACCGGGCACTGTGTCTGGCAGTGGAGGACAGCCCGGAGCAAGAGAGACAGTGGAGGACAGTGGAGGACAGCCAGGAGCAAGAGCCCAGTGCTCCGGCTCGTCAGGCAATGCAAAAGCAGTGCTGGGATGGAGGTGCGAGCTCAGATGGGGGGAGGGGTGGCAGGGGACCCACTGAGCAGGGAGGCAGGGAAAGGCTGTCCAGGCAGAGCAAACCACACACACAGAGCCAGAGGCGAGAGCGCATGTGAACCCGGGTGGTCCAGCTAGCCTGGCAGGAAACGCGCTGGCGCAGTGGGAGTGCCCAGGCCAAGGAGCCAGCCCGGCCCGGGGCATGCAGGGCCCAGGGAGCCAGAGAAAGTGATGTGGGCTTCATCAGTCAGAGTCCCAGAAGGGCAGATGTGTGTTCTAGAAGTCTCACTTTTGGGGCTGGCTGTGTAATTGGGGGTTTGGTGCAAAAATGAAACTTCAAAGCACCACCAGGGGCAGAAAAGTCCATCTACCCTTCCCATGGGCTCCTTCCCCACTGACAGGCAGCCCCTGCCACAGTCCTGCTGGAACATGCTCAGCACCTGGACTGGGGTGGGTGAGATGCCTATGCTGAGTTTCAGCCCCATGAGGGGACAGCCACCACTTTGTCACACCCTAATGTGGGCCAATCCAGAAGTCCCAATCCTCCTTGAGCCCACAGTCAGGCCTCCAGATGGAGGGGGCAGCAGAGGTGGGGCTGCCGGGCACTGGGAGTGGGCAGCCAATACCCCACGCTGGGGAGACAGTGTGAGCCGGGGCTCCAAGCTCCGGGTGCATGCTCCAGTTTCCCAACAGACCTCACTCACAAAACACAAACTCAAAGCTGAAATCATTGGGTTTCAACATGATGATCACATAGCACTGAAGCCCAAGCACAGGGCCCTTCTGAGCTCTGGCTTTGAGTGACTGCACTGGTTGCACACCCATGAAGCCAGCCCTGGTCACTTTGGCTACTTCGTGGACAACAAACTGGAGGAGCAGCACTGGAGGCAGGTGGGAAGGCCAGGAGGGCTGCTGGGGAAGTCAAGGCTACATGAAGGTAGAGGTCCCCCAAGTCCTGGCACCTGAGAGAAGGCACCCCTGAGACACAGTGCAAACACACCAGGGAGATGTGCAGGTGGAGAAAGACCACGCCCATTCCAGGAGAGAGCCTTCTGCTCCTGGGTAAAGGCCCAGCCCCTGCTCCTTTGGGATTGGAAGGCCCCCGATGGTATCTGGGGCTCTAAAGGGACCCCCCAGCCCAGGAGGCTGGCCTTGGTGGTCAGGCAAGGGCAGCCCCATTCTATTCATGAGGCTCAACGAGTCTGTGAAGCTACGGTCTATGAGAGTGTTTAAAACTTAATGGAAAAAGTGAGGGTCTCTGAACCACGAAAAGAAAACTTCAAAATAAAAACTAATACCTGGTTAGTTCGATGTCCACTACCCCTCACATGATGTTGGCTGGTAAACTCAGCTCGTGTTATCACCTGTAAAGCCAGATTCAAATCACATGAGTGCCACTGATTCAACAAACGCTTACTGAGTACCTACTAAGTGCTGGGCACTGTGCTAGGTTCTGGGGAGTCAGCTGTGACCAAAGCAGAAAATAATGGCTGTGAATTGTTCAGACATCATAATAAATAATTCCTATCAAAATGCCACAAATCCTTTCAAAAATATTCATGGCAAAAAATGTCAATTCTACTTGGGTATGGGTAACAGGTGTCTTAATGTGTTAGCACTGATGCAGACGGAGCCCTGCTGAGGGTCAAAGGGCCTGGGGCCTGCAAAGCTCTTAGTCTGGCAGGTAAGGCCCTCACAGGAGGACACCTACACCAGATGGACCCCAGCACCTCTGGAAAGGAACAGAGGAAGCTCCGCCCGCCTCGCTCCTTGCTTTCTAATTAGGGTGAGGATGCCACACAGCCCCATGGTGTCCCTGAGCAGCCCGACCTTCCCCAAGGATTCAAAGGGACAGGAAGGGCCACACTGCGCCAGGCATGGTCCTGCAAGGGGGATAGGCCCCTGGGGTGCTGCTGGGGCTGAGAGGTGATTGGGTGAGGTGGAGTCCACAGGGAGGGTCGGGTGGAGGGAGAGGCTGGGTTTGAGGTGTGGGAGTTGAGCTGCAGGAGGAAGTGAACTGCCGGCCCTAGAAACAAATGTTCATCCCTTCATCTGTTGTCCATTTGCCCAACAATTATTGGCCAAGTTGGGGTGAAGTGCCAGGAATGTGGCCACAAGCCATTCAGACAAGGTCCCTGCCCTCAAGAACTTGCACAGAGTCAGAGAAATATGGGCCTGAGAGTCCCGAGCCGCCCCAGGCCAGCTGCCTGCACCTTACCTTGCTATGGCTTCAGGGAGAGACTTCCGTCACTTGTCCATCGGCCAACTGTTTGGTGTCCAAGCTTCCTGCCCTAGGTGACGATGACTGTGTGTGGCATTTGGATTTGTTGGGGTACAGGGAGCACCAGTGGGGGCCCCTGCTTGTCCCAGCAGCCCACAGCTCAGCGGCTGGCAGGCCCAGGCGCCTTCCCAGCAGGCGAGGCTGGCCCGACGCAGGGCTCACGCCCATGCTGGCCTTCCTCTGCCCGCCCGCCCCACCCAGCCCTCGCGCTCCAGATCCTGCAGCCCAAAGCTCCCAGGCCTGCTCTCCCTCCGCTTCTTCCCTGCTGTGCACCAGGTTCCTGCTGCCCAGCTCAGGCCAGTGACCTCCTGACCTCCTGACCTCTGGCTCTTCCGGGCTAGGAGGAGGTGAGGGGGTGGACTCATTTTTGAAGTAACCAGATTTGGGAGCCAAAAATGCAATCCCCAGACTGGGTCCCTATTTGGGGAGGTTTCTGGGTCCCCTGAAGTGGCAAGAGCTGGCTTCACACACACACATGCACCTGGTCAGCCCCCACCCCTGCATGCCCTTCCAGTAAATTCTCACACATCCGTGGTGAAAATACTACCCCACGTTCTGTGCGTTCACACGCTGTGTCCATGCATGCCCACTGCTCTACCTTGTCTGGTGTGGACCCACAGCATTCACACACATGTGCACGCTGTCACACACGCACTTAGACTCACAACTGCACTTGCACATCCACACACCCCCACTCATTCACACTCACACAAACACATGTGCACCACAAGGCCTCATGCTCACATGTGAGCTCACGCTTACTACCATACACACACAGACTCACGTCTCACATCATTACCAAACAGGTATTGTTCTGAGCACTTCACGTGAGGGACTCGCCCTCAACAATGCAGCCTATGAGGGAGGCACTGTATCACTCCCATTTTACAGATGAGGAGATTGAAGCCACTTGTCTCCAATCTCCTTAAGCCACTTGTCTAAGGTCACGAAGCTATTAATGGCAGGGCTGGAATCTAAATCTAGGCCATCAGGCTCCCCAACCCAAGCATTAACCACTGTAGTCTGTGGTCTCTTTGGTGGTAGAAATAAAGTAAATTATTAAAATAAGCCTGGGAAAGAGTTTGTAGTTTTGCTCTGTCTCAGTTTGCAGTCACTTGCCTTAGAGGAGAAAAATTGGCCCAGCCCCTGTCTACGTAGAGTATTGGAAATAGGCAACTGGGTTCTGGATGGTTCTGCCCCCAGCTTTCTGTATGATCCTGGGTGAGTCC